TCTCGGGTGGTGGCGGGCGGCTGTACGGCTCCCGGGATCGATCCGTCCGTCGTCTTCTCCTGGCCTGGGCGCTCAGCCTCGCTGCTTAGATTCGCCTTTTGCAAAAAGGAAACTGGAAATGCTTTTGGCTTTTACAGCTAAGAGCCTGTGTGTGTAGGCCAGGCCAGGACCCCCCGGAGGAGCGGACAGTTGCAGACCTGTCAAATCAGCCTTTGCACACTTGCATTTGGCCTCATTTCCCGGGATGCTCCTGCTTGCTTTGCGCTGCTCCCGAGCCGCGGAAAGCAGCTAGAATTTGCCGGCTGCTTAAAACTGGAAATGCTTTTGGCTTTTACAGCTAAGAGCCTGTGTGTGTAGGCCAGGCCAGGACCCCCCGGAGGAGCGGACAGTTGCAGACCTGTCAAATCAGCCTTTGCACACTTGCATTTGGCCTCATTTCCCGGGATGCTCCTGCTTGCTTTGCGCTGCTCCCGAGCCGCGGAAAGCAGCTAGAATTTGCCGGCTGCTTAATCTGGGTTTACAGCTGTTTTGCTTTCCCTCCACCCCGTGTAATAGCTGGAAGTAACCCGTGAAACTGACCTTCTGCTTTGAATAATTAGTTTAGTTCTCGGCACTCGCAGGTTAATTTTTTGGGTCTGTGCTTTATTTTCTCATGAATAAGTGAATGAGGTTGCCAGGTAGACCTCCCCAGTATGGAACTGAGAAATGTGGCCATCGTGGTTGTAGAGAAATCCTGCTGTGCTTAAAAAATGTGATGGTCTGTGAAACTTCAGAGACAGGCTGAGCAGTGAGGGGTTCTGAAATGAGCAATGGGGTCAGTGACTCTTCTCAGATCACCCTGTTCTCCTTTGCCCCACCCACATCCTCAACTGGGACAGACTGGGAGCTCTGTGACAGCATTGTGTGCATGTGCGGAGGGATGGGATGTACCAAGGGGCTGGTTGGGAGAGGATTGTGTGTAATGTGTTGAGGAGACCATGCCCATGTCCACGGCAAGGGTGTGGGATCATAGTCCAGTCTCTTACTTTCTCCCTCAATCCCTTTGTGTCCTTGCTAATGCTCCTGTCCTCTTTTGCAAAGCTACTTGACCTTCCTCTGGCTCCATCTGTTCTGGTGTTGAATGCTACAAGGAATCAGGACAGGAGAGGAGAGTTGGAACCTAGGGAAGAGCAGATCTCTGTACAGGTCTGGGGAAAGAAAGGCATTGCATTGTGGGGATGGTGAAGTTAAAGGGCTTGCTGTAAAGTTAAAGAATCAGTGCTGTGAGGGCTTGCAAGACAATGGCAAATAGAGACCAATGCTTGAATATGCTGTCTGTGCTTTAAGGACTGCATTAAGCTTGAAACTGAGGCAGCAATGCCCCAGGGACCTACCTACTTAAGCATGGATGCTTAAAATGATATGTGACTGTGGAATTTTGGAGACAGCCAGCTGTTTGGAAACACATAACCCACCAAAGATCTTTCTGGCATGACTACCACTGAGTCATTGCAACCAGTGATATTGTAGCATGCAGCTGGGTGTTGGGGGAGGGCAATTAAGTTGCCTCTAATACCATAGTGAACCCCAGTTAAAAGTCACCTGACCTATTTACATGTCTGTCTAAGCCTAACACTTTGAGACAATTGCTAATAATTTAGATTATTTACAACCTAAGTCCTTAAATTGTAGCCAATGCATGAAAACCTCTATTACTCTCTTGTAAGAGAATATGGAACTAAGATCTGATATGGAGTTTTTAAAAAATGTGCGACTCTCGGGTATTAAAGTGGATGGTAAGTCGAAGAAATTTTACAAACTATTTGACAAATAGCTGTAGAATTCATACAGCTAATGTTTAGTGAGGCAAATGCTCCAGGATGCACAATTTTTTCCTGTTGCCTTTTCTATATGCAGATGTTTTACTCTGTGCGTCTAGTATCAATAGACTGTTTTTCCTATTGACAAAATATGGCCTGCAGAGCAATTTTGCCCAGCCTGTGGTGGGTCCCCTTGGCCTTCCTGGGCAGCACTGGGTCACCCCTGTCCCGTGCCAGCCCACAGTTCACCCAGGGATGCCCATGTGGTGGTGGCAGCCCTCAGCCTGGCTGGTTTAGCATGGGGCAGAGCACAGTGGAATGGGGGCAGTGGCAGGAGCCCCAGTGAGGGTGCTGCCCTGGGGGTCAGTTTCCATGGAGACTGCTTGGTCAGGTGGGGAGCTGCATCCTAGGCTGGAGGCAGGTCTCTGTGGAGACTGGGCCCCGGATGCAATGCCCTCTCTGGTGTTTCTACCACTGCTGCTGTCCCCGCACTTCTCTGAGTTGGCAGGGCTGGGGACTGCAGCCACTGCACAGGCATCCCTGGGTGAGCTACAGGCTGGAATGGGACGGGTGCCCCAGTGCAACCTGCCTCCCCCAGCCTCAGCCTGGTCCTGGCCACTACAAATGGTGGGTGTGGAGTCACCCCCCTGGCCCCTCTCATTTCCGCATCTTTGGGGTTTGCACCCCAGGCTGGAGGAAGAGGAAGGGAGGATTCTTCCTGAGCCTCCTCCACAGGGCATGCAGCCCTCCTCTCTCCTTTGTGGGTGCTGTGGCCCCCCATCAAGGCCCAGCAGCAGTTTCCAGCCCTGTCCCAGCCTGGCACTGTCACCACCCCAAGATCCCAGTCCCAGCCCTGGATGCTGCTTCAGGGAGCTGCATGGACAGGTTATGCAATCAGGTGGGGAGCTGCATCTGGGTCCGGGGTCAGGATTGTCAGCTGGGGTAGGGCAGAGCTGACATCCGCTCCCTGCATGCCTCTGCCCATAGAATTTGTGCCTGTTGCAGAGGTGTGTGGGCAACAGATTGTGGCTCTGACCCAGCCCCGCTCTGTCACCACCTCGTGACCCCGCTCTGATTCCAGCTTTGCCTGCCCCTCTCACTCCTGAACACTGCTGCCCAGAGCTGTTCTACATAGGGAGTTTTGGTGAGTTGTTGCGGGGGAGGGGTTCTGACCCAGCCTGCAACATCTCACTGAAACAGCCTATGTGGCCCTTGGGCCTAAATAATTGGGCCCCTGAGCTAGAAGCTATATCCCTGCCATTTTTCAAATTGTTTTCTGCAAAGATAAGATTTGTTCAGTAAAAGGAGGAAACTTTTGTTACCTTTGGAAAGCATTTATATTCAGTTTCTTTGCAAACCAGAATAATTTTGCTTGAACCTCCTCCACCCCAAAATAGAAAACAAAATAAAACTAAGTCTGGGACAAAGAAGTGTCCTGGAAATATGAACCTAAAAGGTGAACATTGGACAAAGGTAAAAGCCCTGAAAAAAATCTTTTAAAATGGAAATGCTTGACTACTATTACTTCTCCTCCATGACACTCTTAATGTGTGGGAGTCATGTGCTTAACCATATGCAGGACCATTTTTAGATAGCCTAATCCTCGATTCTGCAACTCTCCATATGTAGGGATCCTTAACCCCATTGCAAGAGAGAGCTGTAAAGGAACAAGTAGTGTTCCTCAAATATTCCATGGGCAGAAAGTACAGGTACACCACCTGATCTAGGATGGCAGTCATGAAACTGACTTCTTCCTTTTTTGGTTGTTATCAGAAATACTTGTAAATAGTTCTTAAATAGCATCATGGTGAGTCAAAACATTTTGTTTATATTCATGTCTCTCAGCTGAATGCGTGGCTTCCTTGGCTGTTCTAACAGTTTAAAATGTTTGTGTATGAAGGTGGTTTTGAAACAGACTCAATGGTTCTGACTGGCTAGTCTCAGTATGGCCCCACCTGGTTCTAAAAATCAGCTTAGCTGAATTAGTTTTAAAATCCTCTATGCTGAGGGATATTTTCCCAAAACTGTAAAAGGGACCACAAAGTTTGTTGATTTACTGTGGAACAGTTTATTTAAAATCTTAGTTGCTGTCGCTGTCTGACTTTCTCCAAGCTCTGTAGTGGCTCTCAGGAGCTATGGTTGCTCATTCTGGATATCAAAAGAATTATTTTAGCTACTGTTTAGAGAAGACTAAACTATTTGAGATTTGCTTTCTTGAGAGAATTTGACTTTTAAAAACTGGTTTAACCTCCTAGAACACTGGTAAATCATGTCCACGCAGAAGTGCTTCAGCCTGTTTGCTAGAGGTGAAACGAGACTATACAAGACTTTCAACAGGTTTTAGAACCTGTTCAGCCTAAAATAATTCTCTATTAACATGGATACAGGCTAGCTAAAACTGCTCCTCCTGTTGCTAACCTGCAGTGCTGACATCCTGTTTTATTG